TTTGTTATAGAAACTCTGAAGATTTGTTGATAGGATAGATCTTTGGCCCGGTACTTTGGCCAATATATTGATGGATTAGTTATGAAAAAAATCTCAAGATTTGTTGATAAGATCGATCTTTGGCTGAGATCTTGATGGATTAGGTATGGACATAATCTTAAGATTTGCTGATAGGATCGTTCTTCGGCTCAGTTCTTTGATTGAGATTTTGATGGATTAGTTATAGAAAGAATCTCGGGATCTGTTAATAGGATTTGAGTTTGTAGTTATTGGATAAGAGCAAGGTTTTGTGTTTACTTATACTTTGTAAAGTACAAGTAGAGGCAGCTGAGTGGAAACTAAGAATGTAAATCTTGTAAGAAATCATTTAAATCTTGCAAGAATTCACTTAGCAGCAAAAGCTTTTACAATAAACCATCCAATATTTACAGTTAAGTACCGACTAGACGATAAGGAAACAGAGAAGAAGCCTTTTTACAGATAATTGGGTCTCTTCGTTATATTATGCATTTTATCCCTAAACTCAATTATTTATCGACAAATAGTTGACAATCATATTGCAGAACGTAATAACACTAACATGAAGGTTGAAGAAAATGATTTATCAATAAGAATCTTTCACTATGTAATAGCAATAATTGTTGGGAAATTACGCCGAAACCCCTAAACAGCAGATGAAGGAAAAATAAGACTTGAGAAGTTTGATGGACATATTTCGGATTCTGAAAAATACAGATAGAGGATTATCTGTATCAGAAAATCTGTATCAACCACTATCAGGGAAGAAGCCAGAGTCAATGAAGGAAGATGAGTGGATCCTTCTAGACAGACAAGCCCTCGGAGTTATTAGATTAATGTTGACTCGTAATATTATGTTTAATATTACGAAGGAAAAGATCACAGCGGGTCTTATGACAGCACTCTCAAATATGTATGAGAAGCCATCAGCCACGAACAAAGTTTATTTGATGCAGCGGTTATTTAATCTGAGAATGACAGAAGGCGCGTCAGTAGCACAACACCTTAATGAACTCAATACGGTCACAACCCAACAGTTTAAATTGAGTTTGATGAGGAAGTTCGAGCGTTGAATCTTTTATCTTCCTTACCAGAAAGCTGGAACGCTACAGTCACAGCTGTGAGTAGCTCGTCGGGAAGCAACAAGTTGAAGTTCGATGATGTTCGTGATCTGGTTCTCAGTGAGGAGATTCGACGGAGAGAGTTGGGTGAAGCTACAACCTCTTTAATATTGCATACAGAGTCAAGAGGTAGAAATTCAACCAGAGAGAACGGACAGGACAAATCAAACTACAGAGGTAGATCAAAGGATAGGAGGTCCAAGTCAAGGAATCCAAGCAACAGCTCGAAGGCTATCGAGTGTTGGAATTGTGGAAAGACCAGGCACTATAAGAATCAGTGCAAGAGTGCACAGAAGGAGAAGGAAGCGAAGGCAGAGGTGAATGTCACTTCCACCTCAGGAGGAGACGACGTATTGATATGCTTTTTGGAGAGCAAGGAAGAATCTTGGGTGTTAGATTCAGGAGCGTCGTTCTATGCTACTTAAAAAGAATTCTTCGAGAAGTATGTTCCCAGAAATCTTGGATATATATACATTGGTGATGATCAACCGTGTGCTATTGTGGACAAATGTGTAGTGAAAATTAAGTTGAACGGGTCAGTATGAGAACTGAAGGATGTCAGACATATTTCCGACCTGAGAAAGAACTTAATATCCGTAGGCCAGTTGGCTAGCGAAGGATACACTACGACCTTCCATGGAGATGATTGGAAGATCTCAAAGGACGCCATGATGATTGCCTAAGGCAAGAAGACTGGTACCCTGTATATGACAGCAGGTGCACGTTGTTTGATCTTAGTTGCAGCAAACAATGAGACTTTAAAACTGTGACACCAAAGACTCGGTCATATAAGTGAGAAGGGGATGAAGATCATGCACACAAAGGGAAAGCTCCCAGGTCTAGAATCAGTTGATTTAGATATGTGTGAAGAATGCATACTTAAAAGCAGAAGAGAGTCAGTTTTCAAACAAGTGACAGAACCCACAGGAAAAAGAAACTAGAGCTTGTTCACTCAGATGTTTGGGGACCAACCACCATCGCGTCCATTGGTGATAAACACTATTTCGTTGACTTTTATCGATGATCACTCTCGGAAAGTATGGATCTACTTTCTGAAGCATAAATCAGAAGTATTTGAAGCTTTTAGGAGATATAAAGCTATGGTCGAGAATGAGATCGGTCTGAGAATAAAGAAGCTTAGGACCGACAATAGCGATGAGTATGAAGACACCGGATTCAAGAAGTTATGTTATGAGCACAGGATCAGAATGGAGAAAACCGTGCCCAGCACGCTTCAGCAAAATGATGTAGCTGAGCGGATGAACCGAATGTTGACAGAGAGAGCCAGAAACATTCGGATACAATCAGGCCTACCAAAGCAGTTCTGGACAGAAGCGGTCAACATAACATCTTACTTGATCAACCGAGGTCCATTGGTTCCATTGAAGCACAGAATACCAGAGGAGGTATGGTACGGAAAGGAGGTAAAACTTTCACATCTTAAGATTTCGGTTGTGTAGCTTACGTGCATATTAGTGATCAAGGTAGGAATAAGTTTGATCCTAAGTCAAAGAAATACACTTTCATCGGCTATGGTGAAGATGAGTTCGGCTATCGTATTTGGAACAACGAAAACAAAAAAGTGATCCGTAGCAGAGATGTGATATTCAACGAGAAGGTGATGTATAAGGACATGCACAAGACAGATGACTCAGAGAGCGAGTCAACATTTATAAATACAGATGATGTCTCAAGTAATATCTCAAAAGAACCTAATGCAGAAGATCCTTAGCCAGAAGAGCCTGTTGGACAGAACGATGCGCAGGAGCCCAACGTACCAGTTCCGATATTGAAGAAGAACCTGATGTGCAGGCTCAAGAAGAGCTTGTATGGTCTGAAACAAGCCCCAAGACAGTGATATAAAAAGTTTGACGGCTTCATGTACAAGGAAGGTTTTCAGAAGTGTAACGCCGATCACTGTTGCTACTTCAAAAGATATCAGTCCAGTTATATTATCTTGCTGTTGTATGTTGATGATATGTTGGTTGCAAGTGCAGATATGAAGGATATTAGGAGTTTGAAGCAGTAGCTGTCAAAGAAGTTTGACATGAAGGACTTGGGTCCAGCAAAAAAGATCATTGGAATGTAAATCATGAGAGACAAGAAGAAAGGGTTCTTGCAATTGTCCCAGACAGAGTACATCAATCGTGTTTTGCAGAGATTCAACATGAGTGACGCTAAGCCAGTCACCACACCATTGGCTAGCCATTTTCGCTTATTGAAGGATCAGTCTCAGCGAGCTCCTCGCCTGCACGAGGTTTGGACTTCACCCCAATTCCAACAGTCTCCCACTTAGAGACCAAACCGTCGTCAGCAGGTTATCTCAACAAGCATCATCTCCTGTGTGGCTTCGTCCTCATCATCTATGCATGAAAACAAACTGAAGTTACGCAAAATTCTAGTTTTTGATTGGTCACCGTCTTTGTTAATATATCTGTTGAATTTTTACTTCCTGGAATCTTCTCAAGTTTCAACACGTCATCTTCCAACAGGGATCTGATAAAGTGGTACCGAAGCTCAATATGCTTCTTTCTAGAATAAAATGCTGAATTCTTAGCCAAGTGAATCGCATTCTGACTATTGCTGTGCAAGACATTCCTCTTCTGTTTGAATCCTAGCTCAGTTAACAAACCCTGAAGCCATATCATCTCTTTATTGACTTCAGTCACTGCTACATACTCAGTTTCTATAGTGGATAGAGTGACAATCTTCTGTATCTGTGACATCCAACTAATAGCTGTAGTTCCGACAGTGAATACATAACCGGTGGTGTTTCTTCGGTGATCGACTTTACCTCCAAAGTCTGCATCTACGTACCCTTGTACTTCCACCTCTTCCTTACCAAAGTGCAAACACTTATGTGTGGTACCTCGTAGATATCTTAGAATCCACTTGATCGCTTCCCAATGAGCTTCTCCTGGATTCGACATGAACCGACTGACCACTCCCACTGCATGGCCAATGTCTGGTCTCGTACAGACCGTTGCGTACATCAAGCTTCTAATGGCTGAGACGTAATATCTGTAAAAAGGCTTCTTCTCTGTTTTCTTGTCGCCTTGTCGGTACTTAACAGCAAATATTGGATGGTTTATTGTAAAAGCTTTTGCTGCTAAGTGAATTATTGCAAGATTTAAATGAATTCTTGCAAGATTTACATTCTTAGTTTCCACTCAGCTGCCTCTACTTGTACAAAGTACAAGTAAACACAAAAATTTGCTTTTATCCAATAACTACAAACTCAAAACCTAATCCATCAAGATCTCAGCCAAAGATCGATCCTATCAACAAATCTTGAGATTTTTTCCATAACTAATCCATCAATATATTGGCCAAAGTACCGGGCTAAAGATCTATCCTATCAAAAAATCTTCAGATTCTTTCTATAACAAATCCATCGAGATCTCGGCCAAAATACCGAGCCAAAGATCGAACCGACTAAATAATTGTATCAGAAAATCTCGAGGTTGTTTCTACAACTAATCCATCGAAATTCGCCAAATTCAAGAAATGAAACATGATTAAAACGAGATCGAACAGTGAAAATAAGGAAACAGACCTGATCGTCTTCATCAAGACGATGGTAGAAGACATTGGTATCTCGACGCAATTCTAAAAAAAGGGGACATAATGTGTTCTTCAAGTTACAAATGCGAATGACATCACAAACATAGTGCAATCAGGTTTTTCATTGATAGAAAGTCTACAAGGAAGAAAATTAAGACTTAAAATTTTACAAAAAAATCGTCCTCCTTATTAAACCATGTTCTCATAATTTTACACTTTTTGAGTAATAGTTTCCACACTTCATTAAGGGTTTGAGTAGTATTTAGTTAATGGTATCTTCTCTTTTTCTGACTACAGCTTCATATCATGCAATACCCTCTGATGCCTTGTTGGCGCCCCTACAAGGTTGCGGAAAAAAAAAGGTAAGTTCAGAAGTTGTTTAATGTTGCGTATTTGCAGTTTGCTTGAAAAGTATGACGTTGTTTCAGGTGAAGATGAATGTTACAAATTCAGAAATGGAAATTGCTTTGGAATCTATGGATATAAATAGAGATGCTCCTGAGCCGGTAACCAATGTTATTTAGTAAACTATCCTACTTTATTCTTCATGCAAGTCTTGAACAAAATAGTAAAGCTCCTGGTTTCCGGCTGTTGAGTTTCTATCAATTGCCAGATACTCTAATCTACTTGCAATATATCAACTATATCGGTACATGTGTACAAGTTTTTGTTACGCAATCCCTGCAACTGTAAGTTTTTGCAAAATAGTGAGTTCATAAATGGTTGTAGCAAAGAGTTGAAGTTGGTTCCAAACTGAATTTACATAATTTTTTTGCATTTGAAAAAAAATGCATATCTAAAACTGAATATCTAAAACTATATGTGTTGTGCGCAGCGGAGCTCGAATCACACGAACAAGAACGAGAGAGATCACAACCAAACACAAACACTAATCACAATCACAACAAGACAATGAATTTTACGTGGTTCGGTAAGTTACCTACGTCCATGGGGTAAGGAGGAGGGAGTTTTTACTATTAGAAATCAAGAGAATACAAATAGAGTTACAAATCTCACCAATAAAACCTAGAACAAAGCCTCTAGATCTCTCATAAATCTCCCACAATTGGATGCAATAATCTCTCTCAAAAGACTGCTCAAAACGTCATTGCTTTACCCTAATCAATTAAGATTAGGGTTATATACTAACAGGAAACAAAACAAGTTGAAAACCCAAACCCAGCTGCAGACCCGCTACGCGGTCGACCGTCGAACCCATCGTGGTTGACCGTGATGCCAACAACAGAACATAAAAAATCGTACAGGGTATCGTCGATAGACTGCTTCGGTCAACCGAACCCTGGCGGTTGACTGCGACGGTCGACCGAATCCAACTCCAGATCCTGCTGCTCTCTTGTGCATGTTCTCGGTCGATCGCCGCTGACTCGTGGTCGACCGGCCGTCAACCTTCTGGACTTTTCTGAACTGTTCTTCATCGCGTTCGCCAATCCTTCAATAATTCAATATGAAGCTGATTAAATTAAAGTCCTTACATGATGTATCAAGTTGAAAATTAGAGAAAAAACTAGAAATAATAATGAAGCACATAATCTTTAAGACTCTTTGTGCCGTGAGCACCTTTCAACATGCAAATTCCATTTTTCCTCTTAAAGATTAAATTTTACGGCAACATCCAGGAGTAAACACAATAGAAGCCTCTTCAATGGTGCCCACTCACTCCAGAAAACCCATCTTTTAGGACACTTCTATCTCACTTCAGGAAACAGTATGAAGTTCATGCATATCCTGCAATTATTGGGACATCTTATGT